TAGGATTGAAATCATGTATCCATCTCAACTCATGCAGAAAAACATTTGCCAAAATTTAAAATCCATTTATCCTAAAAATTTTGAACAAAGTAGGTATCGAATAAATGTAACTCAAATAATAAAGGCCATATATGGCAGGCCCACAGCAAACATCATACTTAATGCTGGTAAGCTGAAAATTTCCCTTGAAATCACTAACAAGACAAGGTTTAGTACTTTTATTACTTTTGTTCAACATAGCATTTGAAGTTCAAGCCAGAGAAATTAGGTAGAGAGAGAGAGAGAGAGAGATGAAGGGAGGGAGATGAAGGGCATCAAAATTAGAAAGGTAGATGTAAAACTATTACCTTTTGTGAATTACATGATTTTATACCTAGAAAACATTAAAACTCCATCAAAAAGATGTCAGTACTAATAAACACATTCAGTAAATTTGCAGGTTACAAAATCAGTATACAAAAAAGTCTGTTGAGTGTTTATAAATACAATAACAATAAACTATCAGAAAAGGAATTGTTCTAAATGCCATTTATAGTTGCATCAAAAATAATAAAATACATAGGAATAAATTTAACCACAGAAATGAGAAACCTGTACACTAAAATTATTAAGACACTGATAAAGGAAAGTGAAGACAGGAGCACCTGGGTTGCTTAGTCAGTTGAGTGTCTGACTCTTGATTTGGGTTTAGGTCATGATCCCAGGATCATGAGATCAAGCCCTGCATCAGGCTTCACATTGAGGTTGGAAATTCCTTGAGTATCTCTCTCTCTCTCTCTCTCTCTCTCTGCCCCTCTCCCCCCACTGGTGCTCTCCCTCTAAAATACAAAATAAAGACAAATAAATGTAAAGGTATTCCATGCCCATAGATTGAAGAATTAATATTGCAAAAATGCTCATATTATCTAAGCAATCTACAATACAATGCAATCTCTATCAAAATTTCAATGGCATTCTTCAGAGGAATAGAACAAATAATCCTAAAATTTATACGGAACCACAAAAGAACCTGAATAGCCAAACAACTCTTTAACACACACACACACACAGTAAACAAAACGCAAAAAACAAAAACACAAAAACAAAAATCCCAGTGCTAGAAGCATCATGACCTCTGATTTCAAACTATATTACAAATCTATAGTAATCAAAACAGTATGGTATTGGTAAAAACAGACACATAAAATAGAGAAGTCAGAAATATATCCACATATACAGTCAATAAATTTACAACAAAATAGACAAGATATAAAATTAAGAAAGGACATGTTTTTCTTTACAGTATATTTTTATTTTTTAAGTTTATCGATTTATTTTTGTTGTGGAAGAGGGGCGCCTGGGTGGCTTAGTCAGTTAATCGTCTGACTTTCGCTTAGGTCATGATCTCACGGCTCGTGGGTTCGAGCCCCGCGTCGGGCTCTGTGCTGACTGCCAGCTCAGAGCCTGGAGCCTGTTTCAGCCTGTGACTCCCTCTCTCTCTGACCCTCCCCTGCTCATGCTGTCTCTCTCTCTCCTAGAAATAAATAAAAATATTAAAAAAAATTTTTTTTTTGTTGTGGAAGAAATGACACAAAGACAAGACACACACAAAAGACAGACACAGACACAACTCCGGCCGGAGGAACAATTCTACACAAGCCCATCTTGCGGTTTATTTTATACCCCGGTAACTGGATACAAACTGAAATCTACAAGATGCATTCCTTTACCAAATAAGGGCAAGAAGCCAAACACATTCCAAGGACGGGGGGGAGCAAAGGGAGGAAGTGACCACAACATGTTTACGAAGAGGCCTGCTCACAATTCCAGCCTCCTCCTTATTTCTAAGGAGGGCATGTTCTCTCGTGTGCGAGCGGATCATTAACCTTGGATATTGTGTGTAGGCCCCTTGGCAGAACATCCTGTTGGCAGGCATGATCTGCCCAGGCAGAGAGTCCCGTGTGCAGGCACATCTCTGCGTCCCTAACCACACTTTCTTGTGGTCACTGTCGGGCTCCCACAATTTTGAGACAGAGAGAGAGAGGGTGAGCGAGTGAGCATGAACAGGGAAGGGGTAGAGAAAGAGAGCAAATCCCAAGCAGGCTCCCCACCCTCAGCCTAGAGCACAATGTGGGGCTTGAACTCATAAACTGTGAGATCATGACCTAATCCCAAATCAAGAGTTGGGTGCTTAATTAACCAGGTGCCTTTGGATAGTTTTTTCAATAAGTGATGCTGGGAAAACTAGACATCCACATGAAAAAGAATGAAACTAGACCACTATCTTACATCACACACACACACACACACACACACACACACACACACACACATACTCAGAACAGATTAAAAAGTTGGATGTCAAGACTAGAACCAATAAAAAGCCTAAAACAAACAAAAACAAACCAATAAACAAAAGCAGTAAGCTCCTTGACACTGTTCTTGGTTATTTATTTGTTTGTTTGACTCTAAAAGCAATGGCAACAAAAGCAAAAATAAGTAAGTGGACATTCGACCAAAAAACTTCTGCACAGTGAAGGAAACTATCAACAAAGTAAAAAGGCAACCTACTAAATGGGTAAAAATATTTGCAACTCATATATCCTATAAATGGTTAATATTCAAAATATACAAAGAACTCCTAAAACTCATCTGGAAAAATTAAGAAGTCTGATTAAAAAATGGGCAGAGGATCTAACAGACATTTTTTTAAAGACAATAGATAGTTGGCCAACAGGCACATGAAAAGATGCCCAACATCACTAATTATTAGGAAAATGCAAACCCAACCCTCAATAATGTATCACTTCAAACCTTTCAGAATAGCTGTTATCAAAGGAAAAAGAAATTACAAGCATTGGGTAGGATGTGGAGAAAAAGCACCCTCATGCAGTGTTGGTGGGAATGTAAACTGGTATAGCCACGGTAGAAAACAATATAATGTCCTCAAAATAATTAAAATTAGAACTAACAGGTGATCTAGCATATACAGTTGTGAGTATCTATCTGAAGTGAATAAAAACACTAATTTGAAAACATACATACCCCTGTATTCATTGCAGCATTATTTATAATAACCAAGGTATGGAAATAACTTAAGTGTCTAGTGATGGATGAATGGATAAAGAAGATATAGTGTATATGCACAATGGAATATTAACCATAAAAAAGAATGGAACCTTGTCGTTTACAACAACATAGATGAACCTTGAGGACATTATGCTAAGTAAAATAAGTCAGACAGAGAAAGATAAATACTACATGATTTCACTTATATGTGGAATCTAAAAAACAAAACATTTAAACCAGAAAAAACTAAACTGAACTCATAGATACAGAGAATATATTGGTGTTGCCACAGGGAAATGGGATGGGGTTGGGCAAAGGGAATCAAGAGGTACATGCTTCCAGTATAAAATAAATAAGTCATGGAGATAAATGTACAGCATGAAGACTATAGTCAATTATATTGTATTGCAAATTTTAAAGTTGCTACCTAAACCCTAAAAAGTTCTCATCACAAGAAAATAATTCTGTAATTTGTATGCTTGCGAATGATAACTAGACTTATTGTGATAACCCTTTCACAATATATACAAATGTATCATGTGGTACACCTAAAAATAATATACACTATGTCAATTATACTTTGGTAAAAATCAATGTAAAATTCATTAAAAAAATAATTTGACCACATAGCTGTGGGTCCATTTCTGGGTGTTCTATTTTGTTCCATTGATCAATGTGTCTGTTTTTTTGTGCCAGTACCATACTATCTTGGTGACTATAGCTTTGTAATAAAACTTGGAGTCCAGAATCATGATGCCTCCAACTTTGTTTTTCTTTTTTAAGATTGCTTTGGGTATTTGGGGTCTTTTGTGGCTCTATATTTTAGCACTGTTTGTTCTAGCCCTGTAGAAAATGTTGGTGGTATTTTGATAGGGATTATATAAAATTTATAGATTGCTTTGGGTAGTATAGACATTTATTTTCTTTAAATATTTATTTTGAGAGGAAGAGAGCATGAGTGTGAGAGGCGCAGAGAGAGAGGGAGAGTGAGTGAGAATGCCAAGCAGACTCTGTGCGGTCAGCATAGAGCCTGATGTAGGCCTCGATCCCATGAACTAGAAGACCATGACCTGAGCTGATCAAAAGTCCATGCTTAACTGACTGAGCCACCCAGGTGCCCCAGGTAGTACAGATATTTTAACAGTACTTGTTCTTTCAATCCATGAGCATGAAATATTTTTCTATTTCTTTGTGTCATCTTCGGTTTCTTTCTCAAGGGTTCTGTAGTTTTCAGAGTACAGATCTCTTACCTCTTTGGTTAAGTTTATTCCTAGGTATCCTATGTTTTTCATGCAATAGTAAATAGGACTGATTGCTTTATTTCTATTTCTGCTGCTTCATGACTTGTATATAGAAATGCAACAGAAGATATTTGCACATGACATATCTGATAAGGGTTATATCCAAAATCTATAAAGAATTCATCAAGTGCAACACCCCAAAAATAAATAATATAGTTAAGAAATGGGCAGATAGTTGCCTGGGTGGCTCAGTTAGTTGAGTGTTCGACTCTTGATTTCTACTCAGGTCATGATTTCATGGTTCATGAGATTGAGCCCTGCATCAGAGTCTATGCTAACAGTACAAAGCTTGCTTGATATTCTTTCTCTTGCTCTAGGCCTCTGCCCTTACTTCCCCACCCCCCCCCCAAAAAAAAATAAACTTAAAAAAAAATAAATGGACAAAAGACATGGATAGATATTTTTCCAATGAAGACTTACATATGACCAACAAACACATGAATACCACTCATCATCAGGGAAATACAAATCAAAACCACAGTGAGATACCACCTCATGACTGTCAGAATGGCTGAAGTTAACAACACAGGAAACAACAGAGGTTGGCAAGGATGCAGAGAAAGGGGAACCTTCTTGCACTGTCCATGGGAATGCCAACTGGTGTGGCCACTCTGGAAAATAGTAGGGAAGTTCCTCAGAAAGTTAAAAATAGTGCTTGCTTTGGTAGCACATATACTAAAATTGGAATGATATAGAGAAGATTAGCCTGGCCACTGCAGAAGGATAACACTCAAATGCATGACACATTCTATATGATTAAGAAGATAATAAAACCTGATAGTCCCCCCTCCAAAAAAGTTAAAAATAGATTTACCCTATGACCCAGCAATTGCACTACTAGGGTATTTACCCAAAGGATACAAAAATATTGATTAGAAGGGGAATAAGCACCCCAATATTTATAGAAGCATTATCAATACCCAAAATATGGAAAGAGCTCAAATGTCCATTGACTGATGAATGAGTAAAGAGGATGTAGTATATATAAATAATGGAATATTATTCAATCATCAAAAATAATTAAATCTTGCCATTTGCAACAACATGAATGGAGCTAGAGTGTATTATGCTAAGTGAGAAAAGTCAGATTAAGATAAATGTCATATGATTTTACTCATATGTTAAATTAAGAAATGAAACAGATGAACATAGGGGAATGGGCATAAAAAGAGAGGTGGGCAAACAATAAGAGACTCTTAATTAGAGAGAACGCACTGAAGGCTGCTGGGCATGAGGGTAGTAGGCAGATTGGCTAAATGGGTGATGGGTATTAAGGGGGGCACCTGTTGGAATATCACATATTATATATATGTGATAAATCACCAAATTCTACTCTTGAAACTAACATTATACTATATGTTAACTAACTAGAATTTAAATAAAACCTCAAAAATAATTTTATAGATACCATCTCAAAAAATAGGTTAAGACAAGTTTTAAAACACTCATAGTTAGACTTCTTGGATAAAGAACAACAGAGTAGCTAAATGGAGATCTATGTACAATATCAATCTGCAGATCCTAATTGTCTTGTTTGGCTTGTAATTATGCTCAAGCCTCAGGGGAAGATCAGCTTCTGGCAAGAGTGCAAACAGAATGTTTTTTTCCTAATTACAAGTGTCCTGAGTCTCATTTCCTGCTTCTTTTTCCTTTATTCCTCCTCTTTATATTCTAGCTTTTCATAAACAGATCCCTTCTCCTAAATGCCTTCCAAATATTTCCTTTTCTCCTCCTGCGTCTGTAGGGCAATTTCCTACCCACCATCTCTGAGGTAACTCTAAAATAAGATCTTTCTTATTTAGAAACCTTAGAAAATAAGGTTTCTCTAAAATAAGATCAAATTAAACTCACATCCTAAACTGTCTATAATATTAAATGTTCTTACCTTGTGTTGCTCATTGAGGGTAGAGATGGAATGAAAGCTTTGGGCACTGCTATTTTAGGCTAGATTTCTTACTACTCTAAATACCAGAGGGACAATTACTGCTATTTTCAATGCAGAGTTTGACATATCTAGTTACAATAAACCTTTACTGACTATGTATGCAGAGAAAAGCTTTTCTGCCCTAATTAAGGGAAAGGATAAAAGTGAGAGAAGTGTTTTCAATCAAGCAATATTATGTATTACATGGATACCATTTAAGGTCTGATTCTTGTTATCCTACTGGAAAGTAAAACACAATCTATTCATAAAGATGCTTAAATGGTATTAAATAGTAATTTCTATCACCAATTGCCTTACTGAGTAAAATCCAGAATTTATATTTAAATATCACAAGAGTATGTTCATGGTTATGTGCATAAGATGTATTGCAATTTTCACTTCAAAATTAGAATTTATCTTACAACAGACTAAGAAAAATACTGTAAAAACAATTCAGTTTAATCAAATAAGGCATTTAATACACTAGAAAAGTATGCATTTATATGTATTTTGTATATTGTATATGTATTTTGTATATGTATTTGTGTATATTTTGTGTATATATATATATATGCATTGATGTGTATTTTGCTTCATGAAATTATATCCAATAAATTTCTTCAAACCTAGGGAGAACAGTGTATTTTCCCTAAAATATGAAAAAATAAATGGTGAAAAGATGATACTTCACAAGTTATTTCATATCATTATATGCCACTCTTCCAAGAAAAGATTCGTGTTAAGCCAAATTCATTTTGTCTTCTCATGAATGCATATGGAGTTATTCCTTGAAACATCTAGGGAAACAGTAAAATTCTACTGACACTAAGGATAGAATTTTTTTTAAAAAAGGTAGAAAAAGTGAAGACAAAACACTTAATATTAAACTTGCAGTTTTGTAACTTACATGTGTATATTGTATTCATACTTACAGGGTATTTTGTCTGCAGGAATCTACTCAAGTACCTAAGATTGTAAAAACTGTAAAATAAAAACTGATAGGCTAGCTAGTTAGTGTGATGACGGCAAGGCAGTATTAGATTTCAAAGTGTGTATTTTAAAAATTAAACACTATACAGTGAAACTAGAGTAGCAATATCATTATATTTCTGGATATGTTGTTTAATTAAAATTTTCAGCTCATTTATCTTTTATGAATTATTTTATTATTTTTTTAGTACAATTGCCATTATCAAGGCATGGCTGTACAGGCCTGATACCAAACCAAGTTGTAATTTCTTTAGCGCCCATGCCTAGAAATTAAAATTTGCTAAGAAAAGTCATGCATTAATTTGTCTGATTATAAACAAATGACATAAAAATAGTAATGTTATCTATGAGTCTAATTAAAAAGCATTACCAGCAATCTATTTTTTCTACTAATTGCAAAAATTTCCTAATAAGAAGGAAAGAAAGTTAAAGCTACTGCACAACAAAGTTGTACAAAGGGAAGTTTAGACAGCAACCTGAAGTTGCATTAGTTTTAGTGTGCTACAAAATTAGTTCCAGGGTTTTGACATATGATATAAATTTATTTCATATTGAGACTGTGGGGACTCAGTATTGCTTGCTGCATGCTACTGTAAGAGAATTTTAGTATTATTTTGGTCTCCTGAAATTTATTCTTACCTTCCCACTGAGTTTGAGAGAAATAGCTGGAGTGATCCTGATTGAGGGCAATGCTCCTCACATTTGCCAGGTTCATGTTGAAGTTTTAAAGTTTTCCATGATAAAGTGAGATGCTTCCCAGTATTTGTCAATTACACTTTGAAAAGCTTTTGGTTCTGACCTGTAGGTTGTAAATTTACTATTGATGGGCCAGAAGAGGAATGTTTTAAAACTTGGAGGTGTTTAAAGATTTAGTTGGGGCTGAAAAGAGCCTTAAAACTCTCACATTGCTAGCAAAAGAGGTCCAAGAAACTATAAAAGCAGGTACATGGATTGAAAAGGAGATTATATCTTCAGTGATTACTGAACCCTGTTGCCACCTGTTCATGAAGCATTTCCCAGCTCCCTATGTCAAAATGAATTGCTTCCTCTGCTCTGCTTCAATAGCACTTTGGGCATTCTCAATACCTCTCTTATTTATGTTATACCTAGTTGCATACACTTTTGTTTTTTTTCCCACAGATGACAAGTTTCTTGATTGTAGATAACTTTTTATTCATGTCTGTAACTCCTGCATATAGATTAATTACTGCTACTTAATAGATATGATTGAAAACTGTCTGACTTAAAATGAATTCCAGAAGACACTATGAACAGGATAAAGAAAAAAAAGAAACCAAAATTAAAAACTAACAAAATGCATAAATATCTCTCCTTCTCTCTCTCTCTCTCTCTCTCTCTCTCTCTCTCTCTCACACACACACACACACACACCATGAAAAAGTCAAATACAAGAGAATCGGAGTCTCCACAAAAGTGGAGTAAGAGAAGAGTTTCTAAAATTGTAAAATATGAATGTTCAGAAGTTTTAAAAATGATCAGTTAAGTAATAGAAATCACAGAGGTGATAGTTTTCCAAAAAGATCCAAATTAAAAAAAATTATTTAGAAATAAGACAGCATAGTTAGGTACATTAAATTAAATATTAATGATAGGATAAAGAGCAAATTAAGTACAGTGGAAAAAGAAAAAAATCAGAATCTCATCTTCAGGTAATGATGAACTAGCAAAATTAAATAAAATCTGCTACTGAGAATAAATAGGAAAAAACTATACACACACACACACACACACACACTGACACACACACCACCACCACCACACCACACCACACCACACCACATATATTTCAATTCTGCTTGCAAGTATTGCTTAGGCAAGGTCAGAAAGACAACGTAATATAAAAAGCTTTGCCTTGAGTTTGGGAGATATTTTTTCCTTTGGGCTATCTGATGATCCCAGCTAAGAGTTTCAGAAAATGAGTAGTTTTAACAGCCTTTTTCCTTTGGTGGTTTAAAAAAATTGGAGTTAAGAGTATGCCAAGAAGCTGAGAAGGCAGATTGATTCTGGTAGAAACTATTGGTTTTAAGTTGGTAGTTCAAGATGAAGGAAAATGTGACTTGGAAATAGATCCTTGGAATTTCAGGAGCTCAAAACTGTCGTTAAGTTTTCACGAATACTAGAACTGGATGGAGATAATCCATTGGAATTATTAATGCTTCTAATCTGACTCTTGCCCTGAACTAAGAGTAAGAGTATCTTGTCTCTGGAAAAAGTAGACATAACTTTAGTCATCAATTGATTCATTAAAAAATCTCTAGAACATAAGAAAAATAATGAAGACATAAAGCTATAAGAAAGCTACAAATTCCAAATAACTGGCAACTATTATAAATACTGATCATCCAAGTGCTTCATTTACAGGAGAAAAGACTGTTAGTGTTAAATTTTAGTAATGCACAGATTTTAAGAAGAAATGTAAGAGCACAATAAACTTAAATGAACAGGGAGAAAAATATTTACTATGTAAACAACTAGTCAAGGGAAGCCAGTATAGGTTTATTAACATCAACTAAGGTAAGCATTAGGGCAAAAAACATTAAAGGAATAAGAGATTAGATAATAAAATGTTAAATTTATCAAAAAGATAAAAATTTTTAATTTCTGTGCAAGTAATGGTATGGCCTCAAATATAAAGCAGAAACTGACAGAAATAAATAAAAAATAGATAAGTCTGTAATCATGGAATATTTTAATACATCTGTCTTAAAATCTATTAGAAGAGCAAATTAGTGATAAGAATATTGAAGGTATTAAACAAGGTGATTAAAAATCTTGGCATAATTGATATTATGTCCAAACTCCAAAATATACAGTCATGTCAAG